CCAGAGGGACTTTGAGACGGAAAAGCGCCTGCGCCGGGACTTGAAGAGAACAAAGGCACTGCTGGCTGATGCTCAGATCATGCTGGACCACCTGAAGAACAATGCGCCCAGCAAGAGGGAGATCACCCAGCTCAAGAACCAGGTGTGCATGCAGACCCTCCCCAAAGGGCAGGCTTTGAGGGACACGGGGTGTCCCTGTTCCTTGGCCGGGCACTGAGCCGTATCCCTGCAGCTGGAGGAGTCAGAGTTCACCTGCGCAGCTGCTGTCAAGGCCCGCAAATCCATGGAGGTGGAGATCGAGGACCTCCACCTGCAGATCGACGACCTCGCCAAAGCCAAGGCGGCGGTGAGCGGGTTTGGGATCTGATGCAGTGCGGTGGGGCTGTGCCCCATTTGTACCCAGGGTGGCCCCACCGCGTTTGGGGTGGGTTTTGGGGGSTGAGCACCCCACTCCCGGGTGCAGTGAGAGACACGTGTGGCTCCCTGCAGCTGGAGGAGCAGCTGAGCCGGCTGCAGCGGGAAAAGAATGAGGTGCAGAGCCGGCTGGAGGAGGACCAGGAGGACATGAACGAGCTGATGAAGAAGCACAAGGCAGCTGTGGCCCAGGTGAGGGGGGAGCAGCAGCTGCACCCACCCCATTGCCCCTAAATGTCCCTCTAGGAGCCAGTGTGGTGGGATCCCCACTGACGCCCCTGGATGTGTTCCGCAGGCATCCCGGGACCTGGCACAGATGAATGACCTCCAGGCACAGCTGGAGGAGGTCAGCAAGGAGAAGCAGGAGCTGCAGGAGAAGGTGAGGATGCACCCTGAGTGCAGCCATGGTGATGGGGGGTACCCAGAGACTCTCGGCCCACACCGTGCGGGGCCCCCTGCACCATGGGGGTGCAGAGCAGTCCCGTGGGAGCAGCACAGCCAGCAGCTCTCCTCCAGGACAGTGTGCCAGGGGGCCAGGGTGGCTGTGATCGAGGCTGAGGCTGTGCCCTGTCCTGCAGCTGCAAGGTCTGCAGAGCCAGTTGGAGTTCCTGGAGCAGTCCATGGTGGACAAGTCGCTGGTGAGCCGTCAAGAGGCCAAGATCCGTGAGCTGGAGACCAGGCTGGAGTTCGAGAGGACGCAAGTCAAGCGCCTGGAGGTACTCACGGGGCTCTCCCTCTGCTCCACACGGGACAGGGGTGCGACAGGACCATAATGGAGCTGCCCAAGGGTCCTCTGAGCGCYTCCCCTCCCGGGACCCCCCACGCTGCAGCCCTCCYCCTCTGGCAGCCCATCCCCATCTCCACAGGGAAGGCTCCCTGCAAGCTCTGATAACAGTAATCCACCGCCCAGCCTGGCAAAGTGCTGCTCTTTCCCTGCATCGACTTAGGGAAATTATAGACTCCCCAGTCCCGCGAACGCAGCCTGTTTTATATTCTGCCTCCGCAGCTCTGCCGGGGAGCGCGGCAGCTTAGCTCTCCTCTTCATATTTTCCAAGCTATTATTTCCTTCCCCACTCTCTCTGCCGGGGCCATAAATATGCAGCGGCTGGCTCAGTGGCTGGGAGAGAGCGGGAGCTATTTTTTCCCTACGTTACATGTTTTAATTACTTCACACACAGTTAAATCTATTTTCCCAATTCAACGAAGCCCTTGCTGTTGTTCTGCCCCTTGCCCGGCCCTGGGAGGGAGTGGTTTCTCCTCCATCTCCTTGTGTGAATTTATGGGAGTGGGATCTGTCCTGGCATCATCCCGTAGTGGGTGTCGGGGTGAGGGGTCTGTGGGAGGATTTGGAATGACCCCGCTGCTCCGCAGAGCTTGGCCACGCGGCTGAAGGAGAACATGGAGAAGCTGACGGAGGAGCGGGATCAGCGCGCGGCCGCCGAGAACCGGGAGAAGGAGCAGAACAAGCGGCTGCAGCGGCAGCTCCGYGATGTCAAGGAGGAGATGGGCGAGCTGGCCAAGAAGGAGGCAGAAGCCAGCCGCAAGAAGCACGAGCTGGTGAGGCACCCGGGGTAGGGCCGGGCAGGGGGCACGCAGGGGGTGTTCCCTGAGGAACCCTGCTCATCCTGCTCCCTCCCCGCAGGAGATGGACCTGGAGAGCCTGGAGGCCGCCAACCAGAGCCTGCAGTCAGACCTGAAGCTGGCCTTCAAGCGCATCGGGGACCTGCAGGCRGCCATCGAGGATGAGATGGAGAGTGACAGCAACGAGGACCTCATCAACAGGTGAGAGCGCCTGGGCCTGGCTCCTGCGAATCCCTGGGGGTCACCGCTTCCCCTCGCCACTTTGGAAATGCCCTGGGCTCTGCCTGGCCCTGRCAGGATGTTCTGTGCATCCATCCGTGCATCGTGCACACATACATCTGTCCGTGCTCTGTGTCTGTCCATCCGTGCATCGGGCACCTGTGCACACAGGCATCAGTCCGTGCACCTGTGCATCCGTCCCTCCGTCCACCCGCAGCCCCCACGAGCTTCAACCACTTGTGGAGRTGCCTGAAACGCATCCAGGATCCTGCCAGCTGGCTGGAAACAGCCCAGGGAGCCCCAGGAGCCAGGGCAGCACAAGCTGGCAGGAGGTTTGGATGCTGGGATGCAGCCCAGCCCAGGATGGAATTATAGAATCATACAGTTGTTTAGGTTGGGAAAGACCTCTGAGAACATCAACTCCAGCCATTAACCCAGCACTGCCATGTTAGCACTAAATCATGTCCCCAAGCACCACATCCATGTATTTTTGAATGTTTCTAGGGATGGTGACTCCACCACTCCCCTGTACAGCCTGTTCCAATGCCTGACCACCATTTTGGTGAAGGGATTTTCCCCACAATATCCAACCTAAACTTCCCATGGCACAACTTGAGGCCTTGTCCTCTTGTCTTGCTGAGTGTTCTTTGGGAGCAAAGCCTGACCCCCACCTGGCTACAACCTCCCTTCAGGATGTTGTAGAGAGTGAGAAAGTGCCCCTTGAGCCTCCTTTTCTCCAGGCTGAGCCCCCTGCAGCTGCCTCAGTTGCTCCTCATCACTCTTGTGCTCCAGACCCTTCCCCAGCTCTGCTGCCTTTCTCTGGATATGCTCCAGCACCTGACCYGGGATGCTGGGATCCAGCTGGGTGTAACCCCCCTCCACAGGGGCACAGGGCAGCCTCACCTCCCTCCCCTGACCCTTCCCCACCATTTAATTTGCCCTATCTGTTCCCCACCCATTTTGTTTGTTGTTTTTTTTTTTTTTAATTTCCTTTAATTTGATTTATTTTCTGTTGTGTTTCTCCCCCCTCCAACCCCGCCCCTTCCAACCCCTCCCAGTTTGCAGGACATGGTGGCAAAGTATCAGAAAAGAAAGAGTAAACTGTGAGGAGCATCTCTTTCCTTCCCCCACTCCCCTAACCCCCACCTCACCCCCACGGGCCGGGGTCCTGCATGCCACTGGCCCGCTCCGCATGCCCTAACAGCACCCACGGCACGGCACAGCACGGCACATAACCACATCCCAGCATGGGGACGGGATGAGCCCCTGGGATGGGGTGGGGGGCRATGCTCTGCCGTGGCTGAAAATCCSATGGGGCAGCAATTAAGCCCTGCTGCCACTAATTAATGCCCCCATCCACGGTCGCTCCCGTGGCCCGAGTCCTGCTTAACTAACAGTATGTTTGCCTGGACGTAACCTGTGTTTGATGTGGAGCTTAATTCTGTTGGCCAGAAAACCTTAGCTGCCCCCAGAGCTTGTTTTCAGGGCTCGTTGGGGGGGTTTTTTTGGTGCCTTTCTGGTTTTTTTTTGTTCAGGTTTTTTTTTTTCCCCCAAGCCCAGCGTTGCCTGGATGTATTGCAGGGGAGGGAGATGCGCAGGATGGAGTGCGGCTCGTTGCTCTGAATTTAAAKAGAAGGATTCATATACAGTGTCTATCCCAGCCTGTCCCTTGTGCTCTTTGCCTGCATTCCCAGGCAGGGAATAAGCCCAAAACCAGGCGGATAAAAGGCCATTTAAGATCCTGTGATACATCCCTTCCTTGGAGTGGCCTGGTGGGAGCGGGGTGGCGAGAGGGGACCACACCGCTTCAATTTCCGTATAGATCCCGCCGCTGCTGCCATAACCCTAATGAAAGCAGTAAGCGGCGAGGTATTAAGAGAGATTTATTCAGGGATGCTTTTAACGTGGAGGAATGGATTTTGCAATGCAGACAGCACCTTCTTTCTAAAGGCAATCAATATGGTTACGAACGGCCGTTATAAATTAGATGGTTTAAGCCAGATAGGACTTTTTTTACACCGGGACGTAAATCAGGGGCTCTCGGGCACGGCAGGGCTGTAAATCTGCCCACTGTGCTCCCGCGCCCGCCGTGCCGGAGTCGTTTCTGTTCCGCCTGCTAAACTCCTGTTTACCCGGGGCCATCAGCATCGCTCTTCCTCGCTGTAATTCTGCACTCGACGGCRGCCTATAAAATGAACCCACTTATTTCCTTCCCAGTCCCGGGGCTGGAAATCTCCTGTGTTTCTGGAGCTGTGCCCTGCCTGCTGCCCCAAAGCCAGTCTCCAGCTCTGGAGCTGTGCAGTGACAGGGAGGGACATTGGGTAGCGGATGCAGGAGCCCCCTGGGCAGGCACAGGGATGATTTGGGGGTGCTTCAGGGAGCCTTTGTCTGGCAGGTTGAGCTCTGCAGATTATATCCCAGAGATGGAGCAGAATTATATCCCAGTGCATGCAGATTATATCCTAGTGCATGCAGATTATATCCCAGAGATGGAGCAGAACCGTAGGATGGGGTTCCACCCATGCCAGGGTACACAGGCAGTGGGTGCTGGAGGGGTTCAGTGCCTTCCAGTGCACTTTCATCTCTCCAGCACCCAAACTCTCACTGCCCCACGCTGACCTCTTGCTTTCTTCCACCTTGGTCCGCTCCTCCGGCAGTGACGGTGACTCGGATGTGGACTCGGAGCTGGAGGAGCGCGTGGATGGGGTGAAGTCTTGGCTSTCCAAGAACAAAGGCTCCTCCAAAGCGCTCTCGGATGACGGCAGCCTGAAGGGCAGCAGGTGGGTGCAGGGCTGGGCAYGGGGCTGGCGGGCAGAGGACAGGCTGAACTGTGCTGGGACACGGACAGGGCTGGGTGGGCGCCCATGGGATGTGGCTCTTGGTACCGTTTTCCCACCGGTGTGGATGGCCAGGGAAGGGTTAATGCAGGCGAGTGGCTCGATCTCCATTGGGGACACATGTCCCCCCATCCAGGGGGACCCCTCTGGTTCCCCTTTCCTCATCCCACCCTGGAGGCATATGGGCATCCAGTTCCTCCACCCCGTTTGCCTCCCCAGGGCTTGCAGTGCTGGTTTCTAGCTCTCTGCAGCATTCCATCACTACAGGACTAATTCCCTGCTCCATCCCACCCTCCTTTTCAGCCCCACCCCATCCTCCCCACACCTCTCAGAAAACCTTGGCAGCAGTGGGGAGCGTGCCCAGGTGCACCCACAGCGTGGGGCTGGGGCGCACAGCCCCACTCCCCTTCCCCGTGGAAGACGCTTGCCTGCTGAGYGCAGATTGCTTTTATCCAAACCCAATTTCCTAGCAGGGCTCCAGGAGTCCCAGGGGACTCCCTCCCTCTGCCGAGCAGGGGGGAAAGATCTGAGCTGGTTTCTGTTAATTGGTTTAATTTATTCAGCGGTGCAGATGTAAAACATTTTGTTATTGGAGATAATTCCACCTTTTCTGAAGTCGGGAATCAAACGCAGCGGCTCCAGGTAGCCGACAATGAAATAAATTGAAGGCAACACTTTAAAGGGGAATCAAAGTGCTGGGCTAGAACAATTCCCACATTTACATGACATTTTTCCACGATGCCGTTTCCCGCTGACGCAAATTGCCGAGGCCGCCTCGCCGGCCCCCCCTCCCCGCCCCGGTTCGCCCGCTCATCTCCGTGTCTCTCTTGTCTCCCCGGTGCGTGCGGGGCCGCGCTGCCGCGGCGCAGGTCAGCACCGCCGGACGGCCCCGAGCCCGACGAGCGGCCGGTGTCGGTGTTGAGCTCCCTCAGCTACAGGAAGCGGCCGGGCCTCAAGGACTCCATAGGCGGCCGCGGGGACGAGCAGACGCTGTTCAGCGCCCTGGGCGAGCGGCCGCCTTCCCCCGAGCGCCCCCCGCGCAGGGCGAACCGCGGCGGCGAGCCCCAGGACCGGGCGGCCGTCATCGCCCGCGCCTTCGCCGACGCCAGCGGCCGGGCTCGCCAAGGGCTGGACAAGCGGTGGTCCCTCTCGGCCACCGACGTAGAGAAAGCTTCTGTCGCCTCCGCCCCCGTGAGCCGCGTCTCCTCCGCCTCCTGGCGCGGGCTGGAGGACGGCGATGACGGGGAYGAGGGGTGCTCGGTGCTGAGCTTCGCCCTTTCCAGCCCCGGCAGCTTGCGGAGCCGGCGGGGAGGGCCCGAGGGCCGCCCCGAGTCGCGGCTCTCCCTGGCCCGCAGCCGCCTGGATGAGGCGGAGGAGGGGTCCCGCGGGCAGCCCCTCTTGGGGCGCAGCTTCTCGGTGCCCCCGCGGCCCCGCAGTGCAGCCTCCGAGGAGGAGGCTCCTGGGGACGCCCGTCCCGTGCGGCACCGCTCCTACCTCGACCCCGACCTGGAAGCCGCCATCCAGGAGGTGCTGAGCTACCGCCCGCTGCGAGCCAGGGGCTGCTCCAGCCCCGAGGCCGACTCAGGGGATGACGGCCGCAGTGTCCGGAGTGTCCGGAGTGTCCGGAGTGCGGCCCCGCTGGGCGCCGCTGACCGCCCCTCCGGCAGCCTGCGCCGCTCCGCGTCCGCCCTCGACTTCTCCCGGCACACCTGCCGGTGCCGCAGCAKCTCGGGCTCCTCCGAGGAAGAGGARGAGAGGAAGAAGAAGAGCTCCAAGAAGCGTTCCAAGAAAAGCAAGAAGAAATCCAAGAAGAAGAAGAAGAAACAGCAGTCRTCATCCGAGTCCAGTTCCTCCTCCGAGTCCTCCTCCGGCTCCACCAGCTCCTACCGCAGCACCTCCAGTGTCAAGAAAGGCCCGCGGGCAGCAGGGGGAGAGGAGCCGACACGTCCTGCCCGGGGCAAAAAGGAGGAGAAGCAGAGGAAGAAGCAGGTGGACAGCCTGATGATGAAGTACCTGTACCGTCCCGAGAGCGACTGAGGCAGGAGGTGGGAGCGGTGTGTGCCGTGCAGCATGAACCTCCCCGTGTGCCACTAACCGCTCGCCCTAACCCTCTCCTGATCCGGACATGGAGCTCTCCTCCATCGGGATGGGGCACCCCGGGACGGGGCACCCCTCTGTGCCTGCAGCAGCCCTGTTTTTGGGGTGCAGCAGGGCATCCCCAGCGCATCTCCATCCGTGGGGAGATCCCCGGCGTGGCCGCAGCGGGACCGGCAGCTGCCTGTGCTGCCAGGACGCAGCGTGTTCGGGATTAGCAGCTGCGGGGCACCRGGAAGTGCTAATCCCTTCCTGGCTCCGCAGCCACCGGCCAGGACACATCTGGATTTGTTCCTTGAGGAAATTTAAGGGTTTGGGGGGCAGCACAGCATCCTGCTCGYCCCGGGAGTGGAGTGGAATGGGTACTAACACGCACCCACTGCAGTGTGTGAGCATGGGGGGAGGCAGCACCTGAGGGGGGACCCAGGATGGGCAGCTGGAGCTCAGARCTGCCCTGTGCCCTCTTGGCTGCCTGTGATGGGAATTCGGGGTGTGAATGGCCTCAACCTGCAGGACTGTGGGGCTCTGAATGCTGTTGATGCAGAGGGGAGGATTTGCCAGGGCTTGCCAGCAGCAGTTTCAGAACAGGCTCCATCCTTTCTGATGGCTTGAACAGGAGAATGGCCAGAGGAAGGGAAGGAAGCCTTTTGGAAATGTGGTTGCTGTTGGGCTGCAGGGGCAGGGCAGGCATCATGGGGTAACAGGGGGAAGCAGCACCCCCAGCACCCAGCCCTGGGCTCGGGTACAACAGGGACCCTCATTCAGGGTGTCTGGGGGTGCTGCTGTTGGCATCCACGAGCCTTTTCCTGGGCAGGCTCAGCTCGGCCCCACTGCAGAGCAGGGGCTCAGCTCAGCGCAGCGAAGAGTTGTTTGCAGCGAGGCATGTCCCAAATATCTCGGAAAGAATAAAAAAGGAGGCAATCAAGGCTCCATCCAGCTGGCTGCCAGCGTGCTCCTGGCTCACGGCAGCTCCCGCTGCAGCCGGAGGGGAGCCGAGCTCAGCAGCCAAGCCGTGCTGGGGACACGGAGCCCCCCATGACTCCCCCTMACCYCAYTCTCTCCCACAGCCCCACGAGCTCCCGGAACACCTTCACCTACGACAGATGGGACGACGAGCAGGACGCCGGGGACAGCACACGCCGCTCCTCCCGCAGCTCCCCCAGTGCCAGCGAGGCGGAGAGCCGGGCTGCCGAGACCCCCGCCTAGCCCCCCGCCACCCTCCCCACCGCCCCGGGAACGCTCAGCTCCGGGGGTGTTTCTTCTGTGCAGAGTGGGGGGGACACACGCAGCCGCCCCCCGGCTCCAGCCGCGGGAGGAGCAGCCCGGCCGGCTCGCWGGCTGCGCCCCCCGCCCTCCCACCTCCTGTCTGTCCTTGGCGGCGGAGTCGGCTGCTCCGGCACCCTGGGTTTATTCCTCAGTGCCTGCTGGCTCCTTATTTTATAACTTAAACTCGCCCCGTTCGGCATCCTGCCGTCCTCTGGCACCCCTTTTAGTTGAGCCAAAGACGTCTCTCGCTGGCCGGGCCCTGGGGAGCAGCCGCCCGGCAGCTGGGAAGGGGACATGGGGACAGGGTCCCTCGTGCCCGCCTGGGTTTTTGTCACCCCCCAGCCCCCCACCTCTGCCTGGCTGTTTTGCACTAGCCCAGCTGTGCATCCTCCTCCACCCCCTTTACTTTCAGTATGAAAATAAACGTCATTTCTGGCTGGTGATACCCGCTGCTGCCTGCTCCATGTGCCTGGGGGGGTCTCCCCATTTTGGGGRGCGGTGTTTGCATGGTAGAAGGGTCTGGTGGTTTGGATCCAGCCCCAGCAAGGATACGGGTTTGCATGGAAAGACCAAGTCTAGCCTCTTCCCTGAGCCTGCTGCACCCATGGGTGCTGGGGAGGGGGTGTGGGGGGGAAAGCCCTTGTGGGTGCCAGCGCTGAATCATTTATCAATCTTCATAAATATGCAGATGAGCAGMGGGACAGAGCCTCTGCCTGCGGCATTAAATAATTAACGCGGAGGAGACGATGATGTGCATTGCTGGCTCAGCCTCGGCCCTGGCCGTGTACTGTCCCCATGCCACGCGCTGTGCCCCAGGAACACCCCACACCCCCAGAACCCCCCACACTCCTCGGCAAACCAGGTTGTTTCCCTCTCCCCACCATCTCTTGGAAGCACAAAGGCCGAGCTCGGCGCTCGCTGCCATAAAGCCACGCTGCGCTAATGCGCTTTCATTAAGTGGGAGCGATCTAATGATAATAAAATGGCACATTTAACATTAAAACATTTAACTTGACTCCTAAGCGAGTGTGTCTCTCCGCGCTGCTCCAGCTCCATCTTCATGAGGCTGACAAAGCTTCTTAATTTGTTCCCCAGGAGCGGGTGCTTGGTGGAGATGGTTTGGCACCGCGTGGCACGGGGGATGCTGGCATGCAGGGACACAGGGATGCTGGGATGTGGGGAGGCAGGGTACCAGGGGGCAGGGATGTGGGTAGGGAGTAAGGATACAGAGGTGCTGGGATGGTGGAATTTGGGGATGTGGGGATGCAGGGAGTGCAGCATATTTGGGCTCCCCATGGTGCAGGAGGCACATGGGGATGGAGGCTCCCTGGCTGTAAGGACATTGGGATGCAGGGACACTGCTGCAAAGCCATGGGGACACGTCTGGAGCCCCACAGCTACTGTGCAGCCCCCAGCACGTTCGGGAAGCGGGAGATGGYGAAGTGGGACATGTCGTGGGATGGCTCCTTGCCCAGGCTCAGCTCACACAGCAGCTTCCCCACCATTGGCGCCAGCTTGAACCCATGGCCTGTGGGAAGGAGAGGGAAGGTAGGGATACATTCACCCCCACGATCCCAGACAGCTCTGGGGTGCTGGGCTGSGGGGTGGCTGCCCTTCCTTACCTGAGAACCCGGCACCGATGACGATGTTGCTGAACTTGGGGTGCCGGTCCAGGATGAAATCCTCATCTGGAGTGTTCTGGGGAGCCAGGGTGTGAAAGTGAGGGGACAGAAAAGGGTTCGTCTTGGGATGGGGGAAGGCTCAGGACCTCAGATGGCTGGATCCATGCCCTGGGCGGGGTCTCACCGTGTAGAGGCAGGTCTCCATCACAGCCGGCTTGGTCTCCAGCCCGGGCAGGTAGCTGCTGATGAAGCTGCTCAGGACGCTGATGTCAGGGCGGGCGGCACTCGAGGGGTCCTGATCCCGCTTCTCTGGGTCAGTGGGGCTGCCGTGGTGGTGGCACACCTGGAGGACGCTGATGTCAGGGTGGGCTGGTAGAGGACCCTCCCCTCTCCTCACGCTGTGCTCTGCTCACCTTCATCAGCCCGGGGTATTCAATGGAGGGCAGTCCGTAGATGCCATGCGGGGCTTGGCTCAGCCCCAGGGTCAGGAAGCAGGGACTGACGCTGCCCAGGTTGGCGCTCCCGGGTTGTTTCTCCCTCCAATAGCAGACGTCGATGCGCAGGGGCTGAAATCACCCCGTTAGCTCTGGCTGTGATCGTGCCACCCTCCC